TATATATATATATATATATATATATATATATATATATATATATATAAAATGTTATGTTATGGTGCTCACACTACGGAGAAATTTATCATTATACTCAATAATGTTTGACACTTCTATACCCTTGTTTTATATATGGAGCATTTTTTTAATAAACCGTAATGGATGGTGGGAAAACACAGCAGATGGCACGAAACTACATCGGATGGCGCCATCTATTGCGGGTCCATTCAATAAACCTCCAAGGACATAGCAAGTCTGTGAGGGAGGCAAAACACTGTAGTAAGGGATAAAAAAAAAAGCCGATCTGATCAAGATCGGGAATCAGCAACCATAGTCTGGATCCTACGAAAAAACAAGATTTGCCTGATTCCTATAAAAAAACGCTAAGTTTGACCGATTTTAGGGCAAGTCTCACTGATTTCATACATGAATAATGAAACTATCTTGTGATTTTCACTTTTTGATGCATTATTGAAGCATGACAGGCTTTGCAGAGTATTATTGCTCACAATAATTCATTAAAATGTTATAAAATGGGAGATTGGATCAACGGTTTTGCAAAAAATAGGTGGAGTTCTCAACTTTTCGCTTTGCATGATTTAGACCTGATTTAGTGAGTTAGTTTACGCAAAATCAGAGGGTTGATTCAGAGGATTGCATAAGTATTTTTTCTGATCCAACTTTTCTTATGCTCGATTTTTTAAGAAATCGAGCTCAGGTTACGTCTCTGAGTTCAATCTACCAAACTTATGATTTTTGCTGAAATTGAGCATCAAAATGCATGATTTCTTAAGCTTTTTGAAGCTCTTGATGTTCATCTGATGATTGTATAATTTAATTTTATCATTAACAAGTATTTGTTTATCAATTTATGAAGAAATCGTGACTGTATCATGAAGAAACCTAAGTTTCAATTAAAATCCGCCTTTTCATGATTTAGAGCCGATTTAGTGAGTTATTTGGATCAAAATCAGATGATTTTTGAAGTTCAATGTGTGATTCAGATGATTGTAGAAGTATTTTTTCCAATTCAACTCTTCTTTAGCTCGATTTTTGAAGAAATCGAGTTCAGGCAATGTATTTGAGTTCGAAGAAATCGAGCTCGATTTTTGAATAAATCGATTTTTTCTTGTATAATTAATGTTTGATTTTTAACAAATTTTTGTTCATCAATTTATGAAGGAATCGCGACTGATTCACGATGAACCCTAAGTTTCATATAAAATCCGCGATTTGGTTAATTTTAGGATAAATAAGTGGTTTTTGTGATCAAAATAAGAGGGGTTTTGAACTTTAAAGTGTTACTCAAAGGATTGTAGGCATATTTTTTATGATTAAGCATTTATTTTGGTCGATTTTCCTATTTTTCTGAACTAGATGTAATGGATGCAAATATCAAATATGTAATATTATTACTTGAATTTTTATGAAGATTGTGGCATTTCATTCTATTCCCTTTCTTCTATGACTGTAAATGCTAATAATGTAATGCTTTTATTAAGTTTCATAGTTTTCTGTATTCATGTTTCATTGCCATCATTTCATGGTTTTGTGCTTGTAGTCTTTCTGATTTATTAACATTGTAAGTCTTTTGAAGAGATGATGACATCTTAAAGTATTGAATGGGGCAAAAGTTTTATAATTTGTTGGCAAAAGAGATGATGACATCTAAAAGTTTTAATTTTATCGTCATTTTTTTTTTATGCACAAAAGTGTATCTTCCTAAATCTAGATACGTAATTAAATTTTGATTGATACATCAAATGACTGTATGTTTTTGTTTTTCTTAGTATAAGAATATTTTTTTCTATTTTCATCTAATTATAATCTATGATAATTCTATGCTTCTCTTTTTCTGATGTAAATTTAATGGTTAACAATAGTTTATAAGGGGAAGAACATCTCCATTTTGCATATTGATGCAAAGAAATGAAAGTTCTTAATGGAGTACGCACATTTTTTATTGGATTCCTAAAAAACAACATTTATAATGAATTTTAGTTTTTATTTTTTATTTTTTTTAAGGCTTAATCCCACCTATTCGGCTTATTTCTGATTTCGATCGCCTATTCACTGATCTGGGTGGGTTTTTGGGGTTCCCGATCCGAGGCACCGATTCGATTTTTAAACCACTGACTGTAGCATTTCGCCTATAGGCATTTTAGGTTTTTCTTATATATATATATATATATATATATAGCGGATAGCAAAACATAGTGCCACAACAAAAAAGACACGTTCTACTTTTCTAAATAATAGTTTACTTCATAATAATATAAGTCGAATGCTAACTTTAAATCTTAAATATATATCTTTACAAGTATAATATGAATTTATCAGTCAAATTGAAAAATTATAATTTTTAAGTTTCATTTGTTCTAATTTAATATAAGTTAAATCGATTATTCTTATACGTTTTTCACTAGGTATCTCTAGATCCACTTATCAGTGGCATCTAAACTCATCGCACAAGGTAAGCTGGCAACTCAAAATCTCACCATCACAAACATATGATTTTTTTACTATAAAAGAATTCAAATGACGTGGTAAGCACATGGATTCCGCTAGTAATTATATATGTGTGTTAGGTTGATAAGGCAGGTTGCATTCCCTCCGAGTACTATCTTTCTTCAACTTTAAAAATACTTCAAGCCACAAAGGTGGAGCCGCATGCAATAATTACAGCTCACCTTTAAACTCTCTCAACCTTCACCTTTAGTTTGGACTTTCCTTACAAAAATATGTAGGACTGTCTAAGTGCATTTTCTTTTTGCACCCCACCCAATCCAACTTAAAAGTTGAGATATTTGATTTCTCTATCGAGGACCCTCCAAAAGAAAATTGGAGATTGTGAAATTAAATATACTATGAAAAAGTATATAATAAAAAAAGGCATGGTTAGAGCTAATGCTCTATACAATCGACGTAAAGCGTACCTTCAAATAGTGTCAAGAATTGTGTTTTAATATTGGAAAGCGTACCTTCAAATAGTATCAAGAATTGTGTTTTTAATATTGGAAATCTTTGTGATAATCTTAAAATATATTTTTCTCGTTAATTATAAAAGTTAAACCTTAAAAAATAGTGTAGATCGAGCATATCTATGAAAACTTAAAAACCTTGAAACGTGACAGTCCGAAAATGCGTTACAAGATGCACTATTTTTAAAACTTGAAATCCATTTTTTTCTCATGTGCGTGCATCTTGATGTCGAGATGATCAATTTGATGATATTTGAGTATCAAACAACCTCTTCTAGTGAATTTTTTGAGGTGGGCTCTAATTTGACTCTTTAGAGCGTCGGGTCTATATAAACTTTTAAGTTCAAGAAGATCACAATCGCTGTAGAATGGGATGGCTGGATGTGCACTATGTATCAGTTTAATGACTGATGAATTGTTTTCAAGCTTTGTGGACACCATTGCGCCATATAATTATTTCAAACTTTGTTGTATACTTCTAATTCTATGGCTTGATTTCAAATGGAAAAATGTTTATCTAAACAATCAAGCCGCACCTCTAAAATTAATTAGAAGAAATTGTTTTGATGTCAAAAAAACTTTCAAATTCGATTATCTCGACCATGACATACATGGATGTAAAAAAAAAAACTTAAAATCTTCAAAATAGTTGTAGTGTATTTTCTAGCCTGTCAATTTTCAAGATTTTCATCTGCTCATAGATTTGTTAGATCTATGCTTTTTTTTAGTTTTAAATTTTATAATTAGATATAAAAATAAATTTCCATCTTCCATACTCGAACACCATCTTTCAACACTATTTGAGGTGCACCTTACTTTGATTGTTCAGGCCTCAGCCTTATACAAACCACCATTTTATATTATAAAGAATTAGCATTGTATCATACAATCCTCGGAGATATTCTATTCCCCACATCAAGAAACGCAGCATTACATTATTTACAGTGCAATCAACCTTTCTTCCACGTCCATCTCTAAAAACCAACACATCCACAACCAAGCTTCAACGCACTCAATGAGAGATCTCCCTATGCATGCATGCATGCATGCATAACACACGTGCATACAAAAACACACACTCGTACACGTGCAACCACACACAACCTTAGGAGAGATAGAAGGGGTATCACACACCCGCACTGCCAACAGAGATACAGAGAGAGACCATGACACCCACATACTGGGGGAGAGTATCACACACAAGCACGAGAGAGAGAATGAGCAAGAGAGGCTTACGGTCGCCCGACCGGTGTGGCGGTGATGGAGAGCCACCGGCTACAAATGTACACAGAACAGAAGGCTTGCACCGCGGTGAGCAGCAGCAGTGCCACCGCCGCCAGCACTGTGAGCCCCCTCCACCACCCATAAACATATTCTCTCACAAACTTAGCCATCACCACCCTCCACCTCCTCCCATAGTACTTGTTAACCTCCTCAATCACTCTATCCAACCCCTCAACCTTAGTGAGCCTCACTGATCTGCTCATCCCATTCCATAATTCAGCCGCCTCTTCATCACTCTTCAAACGGTTCAGCAAAATCCCTCTCTCTCTCATCAAAGCCACATCTTTCTCGGTGTCGATGATCCCATTCATCAGCTCGGTGTATCGGGTGAAAATCAAAGGACCTGGAGCTGATGCTGCCTCAAAGGCCACGAGATTTCGAATAATTATCTCTGAGTTAACATCCAGAGAGATGGAAGGGAGAGAGAGAGAGCCTGTACTGGGGTCAAACTGGATCGAGGAGATGCCTCCTGTGGCAAGAGAAAGAGTGACACCGGCATTGCATAGGTCGGTGACGGAGGGGATATGGAGCTCCTCCATTAGTGGGGGCTTTGAGATCGAGGCCTCTTTGTTTGAGGAGGTCCCCTCGTCATTGTTCTCATCAGAAAATACAAGAAACTCCAATGGAGCTTTCAAGAAAGAGAAGAGGGGGAGACTGGTAAGGATCATCCTTGGAAGCTTGAGAAGGAGCTTCAATGGCCTTGAGGTGAGAAGTCTTTGGAGTTGACGAAATGGGGAGGAAGACAGTATCGAGGAGAAGAATGCACGTAGAGAGCTCAAGAGCTTGCGGAAATGGTGGCAATGGCCAGTAGTGCTGGGCCCAGAGCTTTCTGGTTCAGTGCCATCAGGTTCATCTTGAGCAAAGTCCTGATCCTCCTTTGAATTAGGCCATGGCACCATCATCCTATACAAGACGTCCAGCAAATGGCCACTCTCTGCAACCTCGCTGGCTGAGAAAGCCATGATTTTCATTGGTGAAATCTCTGCACAAAAACCAGACACCATTTCTGCCAAAGCCTCTTCAGCTCGACTAGAACCCCAATTGTTCTCTAACTCAAGAAGCTTTCTCAACAAAAACAGGGGAATCTGGTTTTCCATCATCATCAAATCCCTAACAATGGCATTATGGGCTGATTTCCTCCTAGTGAAATCAACCAAATGTGCCATCCTCGAGCTAACCCTAACAAGAGATCTCCCCTCTCCTTCATGAATGGGCGGCCCGTAGACCTTCAAAAACTCCAGCAAAAAGCAGGCATCAACAGCCATCATCCATGCCAGGGTTTCACCAATCAAATCAAGGTACCTGTGATAACAAGCCCTAATCCTGCGCTCGAATTTAGATATCTGATCCACCACGCTCTGCAACTTGAAGCTCTGCGACTTTCGCCATTTTTTCTGCGCTCGACGAGCAGCCGATAACTTATAGCGCTGCATTTCGTAGAGCTCTGGTTTCCAATGGTGGTAAGGTCCAATGGCGACGAGTTGGGGCTTGAAGGCCTCCGGTTTAATGGCGGAAAGGAGCTTTGGGACTGTGAAAATGGAGACTGGAACGCCATTATCGTCCTCTTCAAGCTCGTCTTCGTCAAGATGTTGCCTGATTTGGATGACCCAACGTTGTTCGTCAAAGCTATGAGACGACACAGAATCCTCCCGTCGAGAACCCATCGTTTTTGCCCTCTGAAACTTAGGAAATTACAGAAAGATCAAAGAAGCCAAGGGATCAGAGGGGGCCTTGTTCGAGATTGTGCTTATATAATGTGATGGTGGGCTATCTTGCAGGGGTGTTTAAAGTATAAGGCTGAAATTTTATCTTAAATATAATTTTGGTGTAAAATTATTTTAGGATGGATTGAAAATTTATTTTTATCTCTAATTATAAAATTTTAAATTTTTAAAATGGTTCAAATCTAATAGATCTATAAATACTTCAAAATCTTGAAAATATATTGTCTAGATAATGTGTTACAAGATACGATATTTTTAGGACTCAAATTATTTTTTTTTTTCATATTCATATATCCCAGATGTCAAGATGATCAATTAGAGGGTTTTCACCGTCAAAGTAGCCTTTCATGATGGATTTTTGAAGTGACCTTAATTCTACATTTTAAGGATGCAACCTTATACAAACCTTTTACATCTTTAAAATACTCAAATGAAAAAGTTTATGTAAAGGCAAGGCCCTAAACAATCAAACTAAAATGCTTAGAAGAAGTTGTTTTGATGTCCAAAAATCATCAAATCAATCATCTCGACCTCAAAATTGGATTTCAAGTCTTGAAAACAATGTATCTTGTAATATATTTTTTGGACCGTGATATTTCAAGATTAAGTGTTCATAGACTTGCTCCTTCTATGCTATTTTTTATGCTTTAAATTTTTTAATTAGAGATAAAAATAAATTTTCAGGCCATCACAAAGATTTCTAATGTCGACATAACATCTTTCAACACTATTTCAAGGTGGGTGCGCCTTACTTTGATCATTTACATACTCAGCCTTATACAAACCACACCCTTATTTAAATCAAGGGCGTGGTATTTGCTTCTTTTATATATATATAGGTCATGACAGTTTTTAGACCGTTATTTAAATCAGGGGGTGGTATTCGCTTCTTCTTCTTTTTTTTCATAAGTCATGACAGTTTTTAGTTGCTGATTTCATTGGATTTTCTGGCTAATGCCTGAGAATTCCGCCATGATTTTCCGACGGTCTTCTCTTTGGGGAGTTTTAACTTTTAAGATTAATTACATTCTGTAATTCAATGTGGTGTAACGGGTGGTGGCTGCTGTGGGAACGATTAGGGCCTCGGTTTAATTATGTAACTGGAGAAACACGTGACCATTTTACTTCTAGATTTAAAATGAGTATGGAGTCTCAAATTGTTAGAAACGATTATAGGCTATATCATTGCCATTTCTTGGAGAAGAAATAAAATAAATATAGGTAGTAGACCGACTCATATGTAGATGTGTGTCCTCTCTTCATTTTCTATTTTTTTTTATGGATTTTGCATCTAATATACTAGCAATAGAATGTGAGCTGCACGTTTAAGGAATGCTCTATTTTCATTAGTAATGTACAAAATTATTATTAAAAAATTTCATCAGCAATAGAATATGACTATTTTTATGGTTCTCAACACCATGTTGAACAACTTTGTTAGCCAGTAATACACCAAAAGGATATAATTGAAGTAGTTTGCAAAGATATAGGGACTTATTGCCTCATTGAAGATATGGTCTTTAATAGAGCAGAATGAAAAATCAGGATTTATGTAACTCATCTCAATTAATTGGAAAAAATCTAAGATGATGATGTGATGAATATTAAAAAAGTTATATGCATTTTTAATATAAACATTTCATAGAGTTGAAAAGGATACAGTTCTATGAGTCCATGTAGAAAATGAGTCGACACTTAAAAATCTATTTTTGAAATAGATTTTTTGACCCAATTTTTAAGGACATGTAATCTCTAACCTTGTGATCATGAATATACATAAATAAATAAATTTTAAGAAAAAAAAATAATAACCTATTTGCATCCATCTTTAAGATGAATGCTTTATATCTTGGGACCACATATTGTAAAAATGCGGTCCAACCCGCATGAAACAATTTTCCATTTGTAAATGTTTTACACCGCAACTTTGAAGTTTCAATGTGAACTAATAAGTTGCTAAGAAAAATTTCAGCCTCTTCTTCCCTCCTTTTAAAAGATTATCTTTCTTAAAGAATTGAAGAAGACACATACCTAAATTCTCTCCTCTTTCTCTTCTCTCATATACTCTCTGCTTTAAAATCTTACTCCTCTCTCTTTCAAAGTGCAAACTTCAATTCTTTATCTAAACTAATGCTTCTTTATTTTCCCCTTTAAACACATATTGCCGCTATTTCTCTCTCACAAAAGCACATATTTTAACTGTCTTTCCTCTTTAAACCTACATGTCCTATCTCTCTCTCCTTTAAACCCTCGTCCTCCTCTCTCTCAAAAGTGCAAACTTCAATTCTTTATTTAAACTACTACTATCTGTATTTTTCAATAAACCCATATTGCCTGACTCTTTATTTTAAAAATGCAAACATTAACTCTCTCATAACTATTCGCCTCTATTTTGCTGTTAAACCTATATTTCCTCTCTTTTTTCTCTGGAAATAAAATTACTTTATTTGATAAAAATGGTATACTCTCACGAAAGCTATTAGTGACCTCAAATCTCTCTCTCTCTCACTCACTCTCTCTCTCTATCTCTCTCTATTCATTAGATAATATTATAAATTAGTTGGCAATTAAATTTTGTGCTTCAATATTATATTGATGTATCCTTAATTTTATCATTTAAATATATTTATAAATCTGTAAATTATTTATTAATTTAGGTGATTTTTATCAATACAAAAATATAAAATTTAATGTCTTACTTTTTGAGTAAAAACTTGATTTTCAAATATGAAATAGAAATAAATATGTAAAGAGTATTATTTCAATTGATTATGACCATTTTAGTAAATATAAATTTGATATAATATAATTTTAATAATATTAATTCGAAATAAAGAAAACTAATTTAATAGTAATTTTAGGATCAATTGAATCCATGCAAATAAAAAACAGGATCATGTACCCTATATATATGCGCCTACAACAAATAACATCCTAAAATTCAAAAGTGACCGATCATTTTTTGAAAATCCCGTATAAATAATAGAGAACGAGACGAAATTCTTCCATTTTATTTGGCATGTTTAGATTGAAAATCTTATATTTGAGTCTTTAATAAATAAATTGTAAACTTGTCTTATCTCTCATCTCATTTCTAATGGAAATGGACTATCATAACCTTCTATTGTATAACCTAAGCTTAGTATGCTGCTCATCGTATCTTATTTTTATTGGATATTTAACCTAAATTAATTCCCTTTTCCCTACCCAAAACTATGATTTGATATCATATTCAAAAACAAAAATGGGTAAACTTATCATTCATAAGTAATGCTATTAACAATGTATCTAATTGTTTAAAAAGGTTAAATTTTAATTTCATAGCTTAATTAAATTTAAGTTTGAGAACTGATTTTACTCAAGATCCATCATGAGTAGATATCTTATATGTCGGATTCATGAGAAGTTTTGAGAAGGTTTTATGTTGACTGCCTACCTAATATAACCCAGTCCTTTTACCTGGGGTTGGGACATGTTAAAGGAAATTTTTATTATGTGCACCTTGTTGAGAAAAATAAATATCCCGAATTTCATGTAATTTGGATTTATAAAATGAGGTTGTAACAGTCAGATCATCTTAAATTCAATCTGAGCCATAGAGGTTATATTATTCTACCAGCTCATGAGCAGACAGGGACAAGATATTTTCCTTCTCTCTCTCTCTCTCTCTCTATATATATATATATATATATATATATATATATATTGAACCAATTTTTTGGATAACGACATAATATAACTACATTACAATTATTATTAAAGAAAAGTTTTTCAAAGATACTCCCCCTTAAAATGTTTCTTAAAAGAAGAAGTCCTTTAAAAAAAAAAAAACCATTATACGATGAAGTTTGTATAGGCTTAGGCTTTAAACTCGCACTAGCAAAAAAATGTAAAAAAATATATTTCAAATAAAATAAAATAATCAAAATACTCTTGAAAGTTTCAAGGGGTATTTTGGTCATTATATTTTATCAAAAATTTATTTTTAATATTTTTGTAGGTGCGTCCCAATGAGAAGATAACATGTACCAAATTTCATATTCATATAATCTATATAAAAAAAATAAAAATAAGATACTTTGAGACGTTAATCTAAGATCAAACGATGAGTGGCTTTCTTGATCAAAATTGGACGGCTGGATGGTAGGCGAAGCATAGATCTTCTATGCTGCAGGGGAATTATAGAAGACAAGCTTTCTATGCTTCTCCTACAACATAAAACTTATATACTTTCCCTTATCCAACCGTCCATTCTGAATGGAGGGTTACAACATAAAACTTATATACTTTCCCTTATCCAACCGACCATTCTGAATGGAGGGCTCATATTGCCGTAATCACAATCTCACATCTTTACACTATTTTATTTTTATTTGTTTTTTATTTTAACATAAAAATTTGTACGCTCAATCCTTTATTAAACTCGCACTAGCGAAAAATATAAAAAAAAATATTTCCAATAATATAAAATGACAAAAATACCCCTAAAAATTTTAAGGGGTATTTTGATCATTATATTTTATTGAAAAATTATTTTTAATATTTTTTATAGGTGCCCAACAATGAGAAGATGACACGTACCAAATTTCATAATCATACAATTTGTATAAAAAAACTAAAAATAAAATACTTTGAGACGTCAAATCTAAAATCAAACCGTGAGTGGCTCTCTTGATCAAAATTAGATGGCTGGATGGTAGGGGAAGCATAGATCTTTTATATTGTAGGAGAAGTATAGAAACCTTTCCCATTATGGAAACATTTCTCTTCTATTAGTAAGCATATTCATATTGTACATATGCGGGTCCCTCTTAATCTATTTTAAAGATGGATTTTTAATCCAAAAGCTTTTTTTCAACTAATTGGCAAGATGATAGTGAATATGAAAAATAAATAAATAAATAATAACATAAATCAACATTTAAAATATGATTCTTTTAGAAATATTTCTACCAGTGGGATTTTTTAAAACATCGAATGCGGGCTCCTGCGGCGACTGACTTTTCCTAACAGCTTTTTTAGACTTATATAATTTCTTCCCATTAATGCAATTTTTGTTTCGAACGTTTCTTCCCATTAATGCTATTGAAATGGGAATTTTTTTATTTAAAACAAAGGAGAGTAACTTCCTTCTTAGGAAGAGAAAATTGCATTTATCATACAAACGTTTCATTTCCGATGCGATAAAAAGTGAACTTTTACGGTGGAGGAAAGGGGGGGAAATAATTGGACCATCTTCTCAACGTCCAGTCTTCATTCATCCCATTGGTCACTTATAGTGATAAAGTAAATTCTTTTTTCTTTTTATTAGTATCAAAATTTCAAGATTCAGATATAATCCTTTAAGAGGGAGTGTTTTTTTTCTCAGTTTTCGTTTCCCACAACTTGCATTTATTTTCTTCTATTATTGATCTTCGTTAAAATATGTAAAAAAAGTTATTTATGTAGGGACTCTAAAATTTTTCTTAAAATATGATATGCTTAATTTATAGGTAGAAATTACAAAAAATGACGGTCAACTCACATGTTTTTATTTTTTCTAAAATTGCCCACTGTTTGAAGATTCCATCCTCAGATCGAGTTTTAATTTGTTTGTTTTGTTTTTACATTAGTAGGGAAACTAAAACTAAAATTAAAAAACAAAAAAAAAATGAAAATCCAGTCTGAGGATTCTCGGAACGAGAGAAAATTTTGAAAAAAAAAACCATAGTTGACCTCTTTGTAATTTTTGTCTATAAATAGAAGCATTTCGTATTTTAAGAAAAAATTTAAGAGTCCATTTGTAAATTACTCTAAAAATAAAAATAAAGGTTTTGGACCTATTTTCATCTAGAAGCTTCACCTCACACAATCTCTCTTTTTAATGGCATGCCTGCCCAAAAGGGGAGCAAATAGTGATTGGTAGATAGTGGTTGCACCAGGCCATTAATTTTCCTAATGCTCATCAATTTTTACATCAAGGTTTTAGTATAGAATGAGAAATCATGTCCATGGGTGCAAAGCTTCCTATTTTTATGAGAAAAAATCTTTTAGCCTTTCATCTCAATTCCATTTTCTATTTTTATGTGAAATTGCTTGTTTCTTGATGGTGTAAGGCATTTGTGATTAGTTTCTCCAGTTTGCCATTTATCTCATTCTTATAAAAATAACAAGGAAGATACTTTTCTCCAAGCTGACTTCCAAAACTTCTTTTGTCTTCCTATTCTAGTCATTTTTTGCTCTAGCCAGTGATTTTAAAAATGGATCGGTGACGTAGATCGGATACACTAAAAACAGGTCTGGATCGGTGAATCGACAGTCCGGATTGTCATTTTACTGTGTGCAAAAAATACTAAACCCGTGAAAAAACAAGTGCAAAAACAGTGAACCGGCCAAAAACAGGATTGGATCGATGAATTAGTGGTGCTGATCGGCGTTTTACAGTAGAGAATAGCCATTTACTATGTGGAACTGCCGGTTCCCTTCTAAATTTGATCATTTTCGTATATATACTCAAAACTGGAATGACGTAACCGATTCTCAGGTTGGATTGGACGATTCCATGCCGACCTGGCATTTTTTAAATCACCGGCTCCAGCTAACATGTCTCAGCTACATGCTTCCTCAAGAGATGCTTGGCGAAGTGCATCACCCATGTCACCAATCACCACCCCCCATATATAATGAGACTTATGGACGGCTATGTAACTGCCACAATAGGTTATTTGCTCGATCACTTCTGTGTGCCCTGTGTTAGTTGCTCCATTCCTGCTATATTGGTTTGAAGAAGGCTGGCGTTGCCGTAGTCTGGGTTTGAATTTGGCTTCTTGTTACAAGGTTTGGCTATGTGAAAAATTAGCCCCCATACAATCTGTGTCAAACTGTGGTTTGGTGCTGGTGGTGTCTCGACAGGAATTCGGTAGTGTGCCAACCACCTTGAGGATTAGTCGGAGCAAATCATAACCCAAGGGATTGAAAATAATGAATTGAGACTGAACTTCACCACCTTTGAGGGTCAAATTAGTGACTTGGAAGATGACATGGAGGACAATTGTAGTGCTTATGATACTCATATGGAAAGAATTTATGGATGACATGAAAGTCTTCACAGCTCTTACAAAGCGAATATTGGGAACTTGCAAGTATGATGGTGCCGAAACCCAAAGGATCGAAGAGAGAGAGGCACATATGTAGATCTTCTCAGGCTGCTTGATCTGCAAGAGTGGACACAAGCCTAAAGATTTCCCACAAAAGCAACTCTTAAAAGTAGTTTAGCTCATTTAGGAGTCTCATGGACAAGTATGTCCAATGCAACTAATAAATGCAATGCAGTTATAAGAGACCGGAGGCCATACGCATGAACATGTGGACAAGTGATAAAAGAGGTGCAGATATATGGCTAAATTGGTAAGACTTGTTGGACCATCAAGACCAACATACCAAAGCTGGTTAGTCAAACTATGGATAGATTTGCCCGACAGGTTATGGGTGTGGAACATGTTAAGAGATGTTTGAACATGGACCTACCCTAGAGCAAGCGTACTTAAATTTGAAATGTTTCGTTGCCCCAATATGGGCTTGTGCAGCAGTGGTCTTTTGAGAGAGGGTGAGTTACATTTTTTTTTTGGGTAAGTTAAATAGGTAAGGGGATTTAGGGCCCTAAGCTTTGGTGAGAATTAAGTCTGAGATTTAATCATAAGACTAATTGATACTACCATGAAAGCCCCAAAGGGTGAAGGTAAATGTTGTCCCTTACCAGGGTATTAAGAGTATGTTTGAAGTGGGGTGCATAGGCAATGATGACCGAAGGAGTACATTGACTGGACGTGTAAGAGCCCCCTCCTCCTCTTTGATGATTCATGTGGGACCTTATTAATTAAGGGGTAAGGTGTGGTGTACCTGCTAAACTCGGTGGCCAGCAGCAATGGTGTGTAGGCCTTAATGGTCAATGTAAATAAGGTGAGTGTGTAGGTAAGTTGTGGACCATATATATAGACCCATTGTCCAAACTATTGAGAGACATCCATTGCTTTATAAGGGGCATCTTCAAATAGTATCAAAATATGATGTTTCAATATCAAAAATTTTTATGTTTATCTGAAAATTTATTTTCATCTCTAATTATAAAATTTAAAGTTTAAAAATAACGTAGATCGATCAAATCTATCAACACTTGAAAATCTTAAAAATTAACGGCCTAGATACTACATTATAAGATATTCTATTTCCAATACTTGAAATCTATTTTTTTCTTATGTCCATACATCTTGAGGTCGAGATGATTGAATTTAAGGTTTTTCAACATCTAAGCCACCATTTCTAATGAGTTTATTTTTGAAGTGCGTCTTAATTTGATTGTTAGAGGTATCACCCTTATACAAACTTTTTCCTTAGAGAAAAAGGTTATTAGATAACCAAACTCATTAGACAATGTTTCGAGAAGTCGTTAGCGCCGTCGCAACATAGAGAAAAATACTAGAAATAAATCTTTCAAAAAGTAACATTTCATTTTTAGTGGTCTTCCCAAACATACAGTTTAATTGGCAATTCAGTCTTATTAAAAGAGTTTAATTTCATATGAAGTATGATGTAACTCAAACACGTTAAGAACATAGAAAATACGACCACTCACTAATAATGACTGACATAGAAATCTTCAAATGACTTGCAAACAAGTAAAAAAAAGAAAAGGTTATAGAAGCAAATGAAAAGGAAGTAGCCACTTTTGATAAGGTCTATGACTAACATTTGTGTAAACTAAAAAGGTCGTCCGGGCGGTCCAGGCGGCCCATAAAACTGTGGGCAGCACCCTCCACAACATGCTTGAAATAGCCAGCAGCAACACAAGATCTGTAGCCTGTAGCATTGTACATTGAAGCAATTAGTATTTGATATTCTTAAACCAACTTCAAATCCATCTCGAGGTGTTCATGAACACTATGTACGCCACTTGAAAAGTCTAAAATCCTTGTAAGGTAGCCACCTAAAAATGAACAATTAAGGTGAAACTTTAAAATCCTTCGAAAAATGTTTTCTTGATGTTGGAAAATATCTAATTGATCATCTCCACATCAAGATGTATAGATTTGAAAAAATATATGCATTTTAAGTCCTGAAAATAGTGCATATTGCAACACAATATGTAATCTTTTATTTGTAAGATTTTCTGTGTATTTATAGACATGTTTGATTGGAACCAGTGTGGAGTTTAAAATTTTATAATTAAAAATAAAAATAGATTCTCGCACCATTCTAATAATTTTCAATACAAATATTGTATCTCGTGATAAATTTTACGAGCGCGCCTTAATTTAGTTGTTTAAGGTTGCAACCTTACGCAAACCACCCCATATATACATATATAAACATTTTAACCATAAGGTTTCCTTATTACGTGAGCAGTGCTTATGTATGACTAGTGAAGCTGACATGAATCTTCCAAATTTTTAGACAATTTCGGCTGATCGGTTTATTGTTGATCAACTCAAGGATATGGAGTAGGGTGGCAATGGACCTAAACCCAACGAGGTGAAAGTTGGACTATGTGATCGAGTGATGTATATAAATTAAAAATTTTCATATTTTTTATTACTCTTACACCGGCAAGACCACTTATAATGTCCAATTACAAATAAATAACACTTGAAACAAATGAAGAAAAGAAGTGAAATACGGTTTTTAATTGCGACTACTATTGAATACAATTATTTAAATAAAAAATTTAACTCAGTGCTTTATGGGAATAGAAGAGCTCAACACAAAAATAAAATTTAAATAAGTAAAATTACCAGAGATTACCTCAATTGAGTATAGTACACCCACACCGAGTCTCCTCCTTCCGATGGTGCTCGAATCTATGATGGATCTATTGATTATTCTACTTATGACAAAACCTTCTCAAAAGCATATGGATCTCGATTTAAAACCAACTACCAAAGGTATGAATTCCTTAGTTTTACTCAAACCCTCTTTACTTGATTTTTAAAGAGAAAAATGCTCAGAAATCAAAGAGAGATGGGGAGATCTTTACTACCCCACAAAAATAAAGATCCAGCCTAGCATGGACATGCCACCTTTTAGAACCCACAAGAGAGAGATGTGATATATCCTAGCCCTAAGTGTACCACCGTTAGAGAGATTGAGAGACTAGATTGGGCCGTGGCCCCTTAGACTAACTTGGGAGAGAGAGAGATGTATGTTAGGTTGGGGCATGGCTCCCTTAGGAATCTTAGAGAGAGAAAATAACTCTTAGAAAGAGAAAAGAGAAGAGGTATAAAGATTTGGTAAGGGGAGAGTCTCTTTTTATAGATTTCTTATGTCTTAGGGTCTGTCTCAATTTGTAGGATCAAATCTTGATTATCGATTTAAAGAAACTTGTGTAATGAGAGATTCGATTAATCAATTTTTTAGATCCACCATCAAGATTCAAAAAAAGTGCTCGACCCTAGAAACTTATCCTCCATCTCCTAAACCTAATCCCATCAAATATTTAAATAAAGAAAATATTACTCATACTTTCTCATGTAGTAAATATTTATTCCCGATTCTTTTAGTCAAGCAATCTTGATACACAAGACATTCCATTTTTGTTTTAATCAAAATCTCTATAAAACAATTTCTATAAATTTTCAATTTAATTGATTGCCTTGATTCACAAGAATAGAAAATAAAAAAGGACCCCCACTAAGTGGGGTGTGTTATCCATGGGCCGCTATGTGAACCCCACACATATCACCATGGTAGACTTGTTAGGCCCCCATGGACCCTCTCAAATATTTATGAATTAAAATGATTTTTATCTTTGATTATTTAAAACATTGAGAGTTGATTTTTTCTTATTTTATAGATCAAAATGATAAAAACAAAATATCAATAGAATCACAGAAATTCAAAGAAATATTCTAAAAATCATATAACATAAAATTAAATTAATTAATTTTGATGAGAATCGGACCCATCTAGGCCTAGGAATTTATCAATGTATTTGAGTACTCCATCTTTAACCGCGGACCACAATCCGCACTAGCTTTCTCAAACTAATCCAGCAGTTCCTATGAACCACAATCCACTATAGGGACTCATGATTGAACCACTAAAGTCAACCAATAGGTTAGGGGACACAATCCTAATATGTGGATTTTAGGTTCTCCCCTAAAGACAAAAACCACGGCCTCCCAAACCATGCTACAACCACAACTCTATGGTGTATAGGGATAATCTCTCGTACATGTACACGTTTTACCATCAATGGTGAATCATTAGCTCAATACGGCTATATATATGTATATATATATATATATATATATATATATATACATATATGCCGTGTGATGATACAACGATAAGGTTTTAGCCATATCTCTACAGGCTATTCATCACACACAAGGTTCACACAATCCTTCGACTCTTATCCGAACATACTCCGACTTCATCAAGGACTAATTCACTACATCTTTCTCGGTTTTATCTCTATGCCTAAGTACCTTGGGGTTTTCCAACTTGACTGGCCTAACACGTTGAGCCTAGTCCTATTATCGGTAAATTACATTTGCCTAATATAGTCTACATGAGGACCACACTCCTATTGAGTTTACTACAATGTTTATACGAGCTCTCATAAAGCCCTTAAAAGGCCACATAAACCCAACACCTGGGATCCGTCGGGTATACCCGACACGAGTCTGGTATGGGTCCAGTATTTGGACCTGATGGTTCAGGTCAGGTATGGGTCTAGTATTTAGAGCGATGGTTAGGGTCCGGGTACAAAACTTTGACCCGAACACTATATGGGTCCGGGTCCGAGTCCAACTGGACCCGAGCAGCACCCGATCCATACCCGTGAAAAGAAAAAAACAAGCTCATAGTGAGGGTGACAATAGACCTGAAACCCAACAAGTACGGGTATGGGGTCTAATTTTTGGATCCGACAGGTCAGGTTCGGGTCCAAGTCCAAAACCTAGATCCGAATCTATTCGAGTCTGGGTCTGGGTCTAGCCGGACCCAACCCACACGCAACCCGTTGCCACCCCTAATACAGAGTATGGATTATGGGACACATCAAATATTTGTCACATAGGTACAAGAGTCTGAGTCTCTCGGATCATAACTGTCTCTTCTTCAGTCGATAGTTTTCTTGCTTTTGCACAGGCAAATGAATGATAAGTCACATTCCATACGTAAACAAAGAAATGAACCTAATTAAACCTTCAAAAATTAGATGGATATGAGAGAGCGAGAGATACCAGTTAGAGAACTTACAGTTGTTCGAAACAACCAAACAGACCACCTCCCCAGTAGTTTCCAAGAATAGGAGGGCCGAAGCCCTGCCCTGGTCCGAACCCTGGAGGTCCAAAACCAGGACCACCGAACCCCGGTGGTCCGCCAGGTCCACCCCCAAAACCAGGACCTCCAAAGCCAGGTCCGCCCCCTCCTCCTCCTCCTGGACCTCCAAAACCAGGCCCGCCCCCACCTCCTGGACCTCCAGGTCCCATGTTCAAGCTACAATTTTTGAGGGCCAAGTAGTGAGAGAGAGAGAGAGAGAGTTTATGTAAAATAGAGAGTGCAGCTTACTTTAGGGGGAGAGAGTACGGGTTATATGAAATGGTAATTAGAGCGTACTTTAGAGATATGTGAGAGAGGAACCAGGGAGGCCATATTTATAGCATTTAAACCAAAAGATTTTCCACTCCTGTGGGAGCACAGTATTTTGATTACTCCGTCAAGGATACCTTTTAGATCTTAAATTTTGACAATGGAATTTCTACCATGCATAGCATAATCTCAGTAAAAAGTAAAATTTCCCAAATAAACAATCTAGGTATTAGAAAACCTAATACCTCAAGATTAAATAGTAAGTCCAATTTTTTAAGGGCTAGATCTTAGTTTCACAAAACTCAAAATTCAACTCTTGTAAAAAATAACCATCTAATAATTGTTATATGATCCACAAACTTTAGACTAAAAAAAATCACCCTTTCAAGTATTTTGACTGAGGGAGTAGATATACAGTACATTCCTATAGGAGCACAATCTATGCAGTCATTACTTAAAGTGAAAAAAAATTTTGGTTTGAAAAAATAGAGATTTGGAACCTACTCTTCTTCCCTGCTTCACCAGTTAGTCAAAGAGGTGCAGTGCTCACCAAACATTCTTCCAACAACAATTCCTCTGCTCTTACCTTCCTTGCTAAGGATTACTGCATTTGGTAGTCTGGTTGGGGCTGGATATCCCTTGACTCCTGACTATTCAAAGTTTTTTTGAATCATCAGCAACAATTTTGGGAGAATTTAAGTGAACGTTTTTAAAAAATAATGGAACTTCGAGACCAAGTTTTTCGCACCTGTGAGTTAGGGTGCAAACATTGTGTTTCAATCATATTTAGCAAGTCGGGGACTAATAATATATCAATAAGCCAAAAAATTGATAATAGATCAGTTTTATTTCAAAAAGTTGGAAGACAATATCGAGTGAAAAATACAGATCGTCAAAAAATATGATAAGTTATAGAATCGTGAATATTTTGGATTTGACTGAAAACAATGGAGTGAAAAAATCGGATATGTAAAAACAACATATTATAGGATTATGATTTGCAATTATTGTATAGATTTATTAAAGCCATTAAATAATAATTTTATGGCCTTACATGGTGTCGTTAGAATAACAAATAACTCTAGTAACAATGCTTACTCTATTGTTCATGCTCCGTGTCCTTCAGAACCGTTTTTAATCTGCATAATAGTAACTGCATTAATAAATAACAAGAACTGTAAACCAAAGTATAGGATTATTTCTCAAAGGAACAAAAAAATAAACAAAGACCATCAATATAGAATTGGAGTTAGTTAAAACAAAACACAAAAGCCCAAATATATAAAATAGTGTTCCATCCAAAATGCAATATTGTATACACTTATAAAAAATAAAATAAAATAGGAAATTAATCAAACTTCTCCACGGATAAAGTAAACAACGAAATACTTAAGCAAATTTGAATCTCACATTGAATTCTCAGCTACCTAAATCTTTAGTATCGTTGAATCTCTCTCTTGCTCTATATAAGGTCGCTTTGGATTTAAAAAAAAAATATTTCATTGGGTTATTCGTTTTCTAACTTTACCTATTACTTTGAGATTTACGACTGTTTGGATATCTTATTTTTTGGGGAGCATACATTGCTCATTTTCTCGTACAATTTTGTTAGGGGAATTTATTGATGAAATTTTTAACAAAATTTTTTATTAAATCAAGATTCTTAATTTATTCTCACTGTTAATGTGATTATCTTTAAACCAAATTCAATAATATAAGGAAAAAGTTTACATAAAGTTGCAACCTTAAATTGTAGAATCACATATGCACCTCAAAACTCCATCATAAAAGGTTGTTTTAATGTTAAAAAACTCTCTAATTGATCATCTCGACATCGAGATGTATGAATATGACAAAAAAGAAGATATTTTGAGTCTCAGAAATATTGCATCTTGCAACACATTATCTAGACCGTCTATTTTTAAGATTTTCATATATTTATAGATCTACTTGATTTTAATCATTTTTTGAGTTTAAATTTTATAATTAGATATAAAAATAGGTTTTCAAATAATCCTAAGATTTTTTTATGCCAAAATCGCATGTCGTGATAAAATTTGGATGTGCGCCTTAATTGGATTATTTAAGGTTGCAACCTTATAGAAACCGCACCCATAATGTTAAGTTCATAAAGAAATAAAGTTATATAGAATAAATATTTTAGAAATTATTGTTTTGAAAAAAGTTAAAATGAGGATTTACGTTGATTCCATTAAAAGACATGATTTTTTAAGATCGTTTGAAAACTAGGAGCTCCCAATGGATTTCAAAAAATTGGAGATTTTTTTATATAAACACAGACTTGTTAACTATAGTTTTAATAAAATGTTGAGAAATTAGCGAGCTCATCTGCCAAAGTAGATTTTCTCTCTATTCACCAACTGTAATGCCACTCTTCTACCCGTTAAGTTAAGAGAAAATCTCATCCATCACACTAAACCATCTCCAAGGAATTGAATTACGGTCCAAGCACCATTTTATAACATTGGAAGAATCCTTTTCAGCGATAAGATTGGGAGCCTGACTATCGACTTTCTGCGCACAAAACTTCAGGCCGAGGACTTCAATTCTAACCCTCTCGTTATCTAATAAGACTATTTATTTTTTTATAAAAATCTCACAATCATTTTTGACTGTTAGATATGAAATCGAGTGGCAGAGGTGTACATGAAGTTGGCTAAAAATTTTAAAAAGTTTATAACGTAACCCAACAGTTTATTTTTAATTATCTTTTTATCATAAATGACTTAGATTTCCTTTCCAAAAACACATGTCATATGTGACTTATTTGTTTCGTGTTTGAAATTTTTTTATATCTCGTTAAAACTGAACATCTGCGAGAACCTTGATTATTAAAGATCCAATATCTCATAAAATTGGTGAAATAACAGTGTTTGAAAATACAGATATTGTATTTACCCACAAAAAAAATTAATAATATGGATATTGTGTTACGTAGTGATGTTTTGGCATTCGAAAATGCGAATCAAGGACTCACCATGACCAAGGTACTAAGCTTTTGGCCGAGATGAGTTACTCGGGCAAGTTTGAGTGCTTCGCTTTAGTCCAACCCAATTTAAAAAAGCAAAATTATCATCATCAGAGTCTTTTCCCAACTATTCAGCGATCATTTATCTTCCTTATAGGGTGGTTACAATTTTTTGGTCATTAGATGTTGAATTAGACGACTTGAAGTGTGTCACAAAATTCAAGAAAAATTTGTTTGAAGTTTAAATTTAGTCAATGACATACTCATAACTACCAACTTTGAAATCTAAAAGATAAGAGTAATTGTGACCTCTTTGTACTATAAAGTAAATGATCTATTTGTATATTTTTCTGAAAAACAAAAATAAAGACCGAAAAAAGTATATATTAAAATTCTTGTATTTAAAATATACAATAATAAATAAATAAATAAATAAATAAAGAAAAAAGAAAAAAAAGGAGGGGGTTTAAAACCTCACCATAAGGGAAAGTAACGATGCATGCTACCAACTAGCAATTTGAACATATATGTGTGTGAAATAGGCATATTATTTTATATAACTTATACATACATGCCGTACAACAGACTCGGTTAAACGTACAACAGACTCGGAAAAACGCTAAGTAACTCAGTCTAGTCCTAGAACACTTAATGTGAATATATCAAAGAGAAATTTAGGTGTGGGCAATATTGGGAAGGGGCGGAGGAAAGGATCAATTTCAAAATTGGAACGCGTACTCCTTGTTCAGTAAACTGAACCAGTGTTTCAACTAAAAGCAAAAAAAGGCTGTTTGATGCCCCAAATACAAAACAACTTTTTAAGTTTTTTAAGTTTAAATTTTAAAGTTTTTTATCCGATGTTACAAATACTGGACAAAAGATTTTTGGACTTTCCAAAAGTGAGTGGCCCATTTCCCCTCACCCTCACCAATAATGGTGATGGTGATGGTGATTTCCTCTCTGCTTTCTCAGATCTGGTATTATCGTTGCCCGCTATGGAGCTTGAAGAGTGGTGCAAGAATGCTTCTGGTGAAGTTCCATTGCTCCAGAAGCGGCAAGCAGGCGCATGGTCTTTAAGGGTCAGGTGCTTCTCACACTCATCTTCCTCGATCTAAAAGAAGGTATGCCCCCAAATGCCCACTATTATCCCCTGAAATTCCTAAAGATAAATGAGTGGAAATGGGGATAATGAAAATGGTCAAATTCAAATGCAGGAAGAGCCAAAATGCCGGACAGTCTTTTTTTTTTTTCGTTTAAATACTAAAAACTTACAAGTGACCCGTTAAGACAGTCTTTTTTTAAAAAAAGTGGAGTTCTAAAATTATGACAAGAGAAATGGTTTATACGAAAAATAGCCTCTCGAAGGTGGTTTATGTTTTAATGAATTTCCCAAGAAAAGGAGACATCAAAATTTCCCGTGAAGGCGCTTATCCTTTACCAAAGAAAAAATAAAAAAGAATATCCGGTCAATAGAGACAAATAAAAAAAATAGGGAAAAAGTTTATTATAAAGATGCAACCTTATAATGTAGAATTTTGGATGCACCTCAAAAATCCATCGGAAAATGTAGTTTTAATATTGAAAAACCCTTTGATTGATCATCTTGACATCAAGAGGTATGACAATGAAAAATAAAAAGATTTTAAATCTCAGAAATAATGTATTTTACAACATATTATCTACACTGTCTATTTTCAAGTTTTTCATATGTTTATAGATTTACTTGATTTTAACCATTTTTAAATTTTATATTTAGATATAAAAATAGATTTTGAGATAATCCTAATAACATTTTGCATCAAAATTATATACCACGATAAAATTTAAAGGTGTTCCTTACCTCTACTGCAGATGCATCGATATTCCAACGGCACCCAAAAAAAATAAACACTTATAATCATCATTAAATAAGAATGTCAGCATGGGCAAGTCAAGTGTAAAGAGGTACATGTTGCTTTTCAAAGGAATTTAAGCAATTGAAGTATCCCCGGGCCCAAATCTCTACTCTTGCTACATTTTGACGATAGATATTGATCGGGTCGACCCTCAGCCTTCTTCAATA